GAAAAGAAGGAGAGAGAGCTGCTCAGTATAGGGCAGGAGGGCAGTGATCCCCTCCCTCTTCTCCATCTCAGCTCATCTTGAATGCAAATGTGGTTCCTATACGGTTCTTTTGTGACGCTTCTAACTGCTCCAGAGAGAAGCAATTACAACTGCTCCATTCAGTCAGAGAGAGAAAGACACGCATGGAGAGAGAAGGGTAATTAATAAAGAGATAGGAGCAATGAAGGAGGAGAGGAGGTGAACACGTACCTGTGGGGGATCTTAAAGTGGTACTGAAGAAGTGTATTGATTGTAAAGGCACCGCTGTTAGTGACATGCACACACTTCGACATGACCTGGCTTATAATTTCCCATCAACTACTCTATGAAAGGTCAAAGGTGAGAGGTCATTAGCATTACATCAAAGGGTGTGTAATACAGTATTATGCTCTGAGGCTCCATTTGTCTTACAGTCATTACTCCCCCAATCACTGCTTCAAAGAAATGAAGCTGCAGACGTTACTGAATCAGAAGAACTCCATCCAAATATAACATCACCGTCCACTCTTTTCAGTCTCTCAGTGGACAGATACTTGCAGTGCCAGTGCCATTTCCTATTGCAGTCACAAAGGCCGGGTGGCACTGCAAAGTATGGTGGGAGTTTTTATGACAGTCATTTGGGCTGCTAATATGTCATCTCCATTAGCTGACTTTTAACACTCGCAGATAGATGGCCCTGTGACATTTATCTGTGCTTGGGTCGTATTTTAGCTGTTAAATGGCTGCCAGTGAGTGGAGTGTGTGCAAAATGAGTGTGTGTGTGTGTGTGTTTTTAGGCATGCAGTGGTGGGCAAGGGAGGTGGAGATGCATCGACTTTTAATGATGCCCTATGCAGTAGCACTTTAGAGGTAATAATCACAAATACAATGCAAGTTGTCACCTTTGACCCCATGACCAAATGCAAAAAAGTTGAGAAAAAGCAGAGCTAGCTTTGAGGTCGAGACCCTCCCTCCTCAACAGTTAGACAGCTGAAGTACAGTGAGGCAGAACTGCAGTGTCAGCTGAAAAAACACCCAACTACAAAGAGAACAGCAATTAACTTAGCAGCCTACTGAGAGATGATGAAGGCTCAGAATAAGAGAGAAACAGAAAAATGAAAGGAAGAGTAAAGAGGAAGAGTGATAGAAAGAAAGCAAATAAGTGCAAGGGCATGGTGAGTTACATGGGCTAATTGCTGATATGGATTTTGCCATTGTTGGCTTTTGTAGGGTCAAGGAGGTGAAGCAATTCCCTGTGGTGGCTTTGGGTGAAAGTCTAAATGAACTAATAATTTAAACTCATAAACTAACACTAACATTGATGCTCACTGCATATAGTGAAGCAAATTAGAACGAGTCCTACTCTAAAGTAGTTGTAAATATGATATAAGCTCTTGTCATTTAACTCATGTACAGGAGACAATTTTCCCCTTACCGTCCATCCATTTACTGTCTATATTACCATCCATTATGCTGCATCAAAAAGCGGAGAATATGTCATATGTTGCCTACAGGCGCTCGGTCACCTGTCCAGAGGCACTGAAGCTGACTAATGCGACAGAAAATTAACAATTAAAAATATCACACGGGCCCAGAGCCACTGCAACGTGCTCTGTTCACAACTCAGTGGGCACTCTAATTGCTATGAAATACAATTGGGTTTGGGTTTTGTTTGGTGTTTTGGAGGTACGAAGCGCATCAGTACACACTGGAAATTGAGTTATAAATTACAAAACTGAAATAGACATGTACTGTGAATACTCAATATCCAAATGCTAGATGTTATCCCCTACCAAAAGGCAGATGTGTGTATGTATAAACACACACAAACAAAAGATATCACCACTTGCTGTTGCATTTCATTTTGTCAGAAAATTGACTGGCTTTGAACCAAACAGTGTGTGTGTGTGTGTGTGTGTGTGTCATGTAGAATGCCTGTCATAGTATACACTGATAAGGTCAACCTTGGCAGTAAACACAGAAATGAAGAGTTCCAACTACAAACCAGTAGCACTCAGAAAATGACAAAGGATGAGGAAAAGAGAATGTTCATTCATCCACAACTTCCCACCAGCGTGTGCGTGTTTCTGTTCACTGCTGTCACTGTGTTTTCAGACATGCCACCATGCATCTGTATGTGTCTGGGTTTGCCATATGAATACAGCTCAGTGGCTGGCATGTGAAGTCAGTGACAGCTTCATTATGGCTGCTGCACACAAGAAGACAGCACCATCCAGGGGAAAGGGGGGAAGAGAACAGAGACATGGGACAGGCCAGGTTTACTGCTGGGCTGGCCTACGTCAGTAGCGGGCACGACAGCTACTGTCTCCTTTAATGAACCTTTGCTTCTTTCATCAGCTTTCAATTTACAGGGCTGTCCAGCACTCCTGCACTACACCCCCACCCCAAACCCTGAAATACACAGATTGTTAGAGGCTGTCTTGTTTCTTTCAGGTGATTCCCAAGAGCAGTCTGTAATAGTTAAATTAATTTGCCATGTTCCTTTAATTAGGCCACCTCATCTGGAAAGGCTGTGGCACAGGGCTGAAATGTGCCCAGCACTGGACCAGTAACAATGAAGAGGCTTAAATCTAACATGTACCTAGATAGCATATGCATTACTTATAGTAAGGCACAATCCAACTTGTAAAGAGCAGTGAAGAGCACTGGAGCCGGCTTCTGCAAACTCCAACCTTAACTACTTCTATCAAAACTAACTATACTTATAAAGAATTTATTGCCAAGCAGTTTTGCATTATATTTTACATGTGTACAGAAGCCACTAAGTGCACACTAAGGTTTAATGGGCTGGTTCATTCCTGCGCCAAGAGGCACATTCTGTACAACTGCGACACCAAGAAAGTACACAAGGCGCATCATGTATGATCACCATTGGTGGGAACGTAACCAGCATTGTTCGTCCATCACCAAAGACTCAGTCCTACCACACTCATATGCCTCCCCTCAGATATTTTATCAAAGCTAGTGCAGTTTGACTGAATACAGTGGGGCAAATAAGTATTTGATACACTACCGATTTTTCAGGTTTTCCTACTTCGAGAATGGACAGTTCTGTAATTTTCATCATAGGTACACCTCAACTGTGAGAGACAGAATCTACAAAAAAATTCCAGTAAATCACATTGTTAGATTTTTAAATAATTTATTTCCATTTTATTGCATGACATAAGTATTTGATCACCTACCAACCAGGAAGAATTCTGGCTCTCACAGACCTGTTAGTTTGTCTTTAAGAAGCCCTCCTATCCTCCACTCATTGCCTGTATTAACTGCACCTGTTTGAACTCGTTACCTGTATAAAAGACACCTGTCCACACAGTCTATCAGACTCCAACTTCTCCACTATGGGCAAGACTAAAGAGCTGTCTAGGGTCAAAATTGTAGACCTGCACAAGGCTGGGATGGGCTACAGGACAATAGGCAAACAGCTTGGTGAGAAGGCAACAACTGTTGGTGCAATTATTAGACAATGGAAGAAATTCAAGATGACTGTCAATCTCCCTCGGACTCCATGCAAGATCTGGCCTCGTGGAGTATCAATGATCCTGAGAAAGGTGAGGGATCAGCTTAGAACTACATGGGAGGACCTGTCAATGACCTGAAGAGAGCTGGGACCACAGTCTCAGCAGTTACCATTAGTAACACACTACACCGTAATGGCTTAAAATCCTGCAGCGCACGCAAAGTCCCTCTGCTCAAGCCAGCACATGTCCAGGCCCATCTGAAGTTTGCCAAAGACCATCTGGATGATCCAGAGGAGGCATGGGAGAAGGTCATGTGGTC